TCGGTGACGTTGGTAATTGGCGGTGATGGCTGAGCGGAAGGGAGCCTGGAGCTGGGAGATAGGACGTCTGGGTTCGACCCCAAGCCCTGCCCTGTGACCTAGAGCCCATCCGAGTCCTCCCGGGGCCTCAGTCTTCCCACGGGATCACCCACACTGCTGCTCACGCTGGAGTTCCACCGAGAACTGGCCCCCGAGATCTGGCCCCTGACGACTCACAGCCTTGCATTTACTGAAAAGCCAAGGCCTTTGCCCAGCGGATGTTCAGGCTTCTATGCCTTCTTTCCCTCCGAGATCTGGATTCTGCTCTTCCACCTCCACTGCTCCCCGTCCCCACGCCCCACTGCGGCATCACCTGCCCTTCCAATGCCCCCCCACCCCAGGCCAGGTGTGTTTATATATAGTCTTCCAGAAAGATCTCCACTCAGTGGGACACATTCCCACTCACATATGCAGATGCCTTTCAAATAAAATAAAATAAAAAAACTTCGAGAAACTGAGGCAAAAGGTGGCTGGAAGTGGAGCCCCCTGCAGCATTGTTCCCCAGACATCTGCTGCCTGGCCCAGCTGTCACACCTGCCTCTGTGTCGGGGCAGAGATTGTGGCAGGAAGTCTGTCACATGAGAGGGATAGAGGTGGTGGCGGGTGCCAGCCAGGAGAGGAAGGCGTATGGGCCAGGAGTGGGGTCCATGGGCACAGCCCTGGTCCTCCTTGGGCCTCTCTCCCCTCTGTACCCCCTTCTGTTGTCCACCACTCCAGCTGCCCACCCCTTCCGCTCAAAGCTCCTCTAAACCTTAGTCTCTCTGCTCTGCCAAATAAGGCCTGTCTCTCTCTGATACTCAGAACCTTAGGAGAGTTGAAGGGGTCTAGCAAGGGTCCTCAGAGGGGGCCCTTAGGATAAAATTAAACCAAGACCTACATACCAGCCTTGCGTGACCTGGCCTCACTGGCCTCTCATCACCACATCACCCCCGCGGCCTTCCCTCCCTACCCCTTGGCCGCCCACTGGCTTGTCTTTCTTTTTGTTTTTTTCCAGCACACCAAGCTTGATCTCTCCTCTGGGACTTTGCACATGCTGTTCCCTCTGCCTGAAACATTCCCTGGATTTCATCTCTCTATCCTCAGCTGCAATTGCGTCTCAAATGCCAGGAGCTTAATGTAAACTCACCCCTTCTGGGGGATCTAACAGGTGCCAAAAGCAAACTCTTTTCCTAATCAGCCCTCTTCTCTCTTTTTACCATTCAGACCCTGGCTCAAATGTCACCTCCCCTGAGAAGCCTTCCTTGACCATCCTCAATAAGTAGATTCTCACCTCATCCTTATCCCCTATTGCCACTCCCTCTTCCTTTCCTCCATTATTATTCTTATTTCACGACTTCCTGTGTCTCTCTCTGTGCTGGGCCATCAGCTGCCCGAGGGTGGGATTTTTGTCTGTCTCAGTCACCTCTGTGTCTGTGTCCACCGTGTCCAGAACAGGCCTGGCACATACAAAGCGACGTTTGTGTGGCTGAGAGCTGGGCATGTCATAAAGTCCATCTTGAAATTTCATAAGTGCTGAGAGAGTTATACTCGTTTCACAGATGAGGCCACTGTAGCTCAGCAAGAAGTGAGCTTGCAAAAGATCATACAGACAGCAAGGTTCTAACCCAGGGGTGGGCAAACTTTTTGACTTGAGGGCCACAATGGGTTCTTAAACTGGACCGGAGGCCGGAACAAAAGCATGGATGGAGTGTTTGTGTGAACTAATATAAATTCAAAGTAAACATCATTACATAAAAGGGTACGGTCTTTGGCCCTCCGTTCCAGTTTAAGAACCCATTGTGGCCCTCGAGTCAAAAAGTTTGCTCACCCCTGTTCTAACCTCTTACTGCCTCACCACAGTGAGGGGCTCTGGGAGTAAGACCGCACGTGTACACACACACACGGAGAGAGAGAGAGAGAGAGAGAGAGAACCTCTTACTGCCTCACCACAGTGAGCTGGCTGTGGGAGTAAGACCGCACCTGTACATACAGAGAGAGAGAGAGAGAGAGAGAGAGGCCTCACTCACCTCTTCTGCCTCCTGGCCCTGCAAGGAGCCACAGGCCTGAGTGTGCAGCAGGGGCCCAAGTTGCTGCAGGGGAGGCAGGACAGCCAGGTGACCTTGACCTGTCAGGTGGTACAGTCTCAGGCCTGGGAGCAGGTCCTTGTCGAGTGGACCCAGGACAGTGTTGCCTTGTGCCCACCATACATCGTCGACCGCAACCCCAGCCTGGAGGTCTGAGAGCCTCAGGGATGACTCTTCTGGTGACCACCTGGCAATCTCACTGCAGCTGGACCACGTGACTATCAACAACAATGGGAACTACTTGTGCTGGGCAACCATGGAGATTCCTGAATTGGTGGAGGCCAAGGGCGATGGAGCACAGCTCCTGGTGGACAGGGGTGTGAGAGCAAGTGGGGAGAAGAGGCAGGGACTTGGGACTTCTAGAATCTTAAGACTAGAATTTCAAACAGCTGGAAACAAGCTCTAAATTCAAATCAGATTTTTAGGAACAGAAATCCTGCAAATGCCAAGAACATCAAATTATAAATCACAGCACCAAAGGCATGCTGAAACTTATAACTCTAGACCAGAGCTCTGGCAAACTTTTTCTGTAAAGGGCAATATAGTAAATAGTTTCTGTTTTGTGAACCAGGGGGTCTCTGTTGCAGCCACTCTGCTCTGCCTTTGTAACCCCTGTAGAGGACAGTAGGCTAATGGCGGCGCTGGGTTCCAATAAAACTTTGAGCCCTGGCTGGTGTGGCTCAGTTGGTTGCATTGAGACGTCACGATTCCATTCCTGGTCACCTGATGGGGTTGTGGGCTCAATCCACAGTGGGGGCTGTGCAGGAGACAGCTAATCAATGTTTTTCTCTCTCCCCCTTTTCCTTCCTCTCTCTCTCAAATCAATAAAAACGTATTTTTAAAAAGAACTTTAAATGATATAAATGAAAACAGTGATCATCTATGGGGGTGGTATGTACAGGGAACTTTCTGCAGAGATTGAAACATTCTATGTTTAGATTGATATGTTGTTTATATGTGTGAATACATTTTGTAAGCACTTGTTGAATTATACATTTAAGAACTATGCATTTCACTATAGGCAAATTTTATCTTAATAAAATATTTTAAAGTATAAAATAAAAAATTTAAAGGACTTTATTTGAAGAAACAGGCTGTAGAGTTTGCTGAACCCAGTTCCAGAATATCACAATCATAAAGACTCTTAAGTACATATAATTCTGGAGTGTTTATTAAAAACAATTCCAGCCCAAGCCGGTTTGGCTCAGTGGATAGAGCGTTGGCCTGCGGACTGAAGGGTCCCAGGTTCGATTCCCGTCAAGGGCACATGCCCTGGTAGTGGGCTCAATCCCCAGTGGGGGTGGGGGGCGAGGAGGCAGCCAATCAATGATTCTCTCTAATCATTGATGTTTCTCTCTCTCTCTCTCCCTTCCTCTCTGAAATCAATAAAAAACATATTTAAAAAATAATAAAGTGAACTCTTCTCTCTTTAAAAAGGAACTACTTTTCCAGCCCACTAGATACCACATTCACAGCCTTCACAGCTCGATTTCTACTGATGGGCACGTGGGCAGCTCCGGGCCTTGGCTCTCATGAGCAAGGCTGCCGTGGATTCTCTAGAAGGTGTCTTTTCGTCAGCTACATACACAGTTCTGCTGCACCTGGGACAATTCTAGAATCTCGAAGCACAACATAGAATCTTGCCGTTCTAGAATCCTAGGGCTATAAAATTCTCAGCTCTCAGAGCTATAGCTTATAAGGGGTGGTGAACACACTGCAATATACAGATGATGTATTATAGAATCATATACCTGAAAACCTATATGATTTCATTACCCAATGTCACCCCAACAAGTTCAATAAAAAAGTAAAAACAAATGAACTAAATGGACACTGCAGACTTAAAAAAATAAAAAGAACTGAAGTGTATGTTCTCATTGGGGCAGATCACTCCCTAAAGAGGCAAAAATTGGTTCTTGGGGAGCAAAGAAAAATTTATCTTTTCTATGTATAAACCATAAATATGCACATAATGCACAAATAGATTTACAGTATATCTGTGGTATTAAAATTTCATGGGGGAAGAAATTAAGATTTTTTTAAAAAGACTCCTGAGGGGAGGGGTGACAATAATAAACCGATGAGAAACCCTGAAACAAAGGAATGAATGGTTCTAGAATCTTACAACTGCACTATGGCAAACACTTTAAATAAAGAGACGCTTAGAAGTTTGCAGTCTGAGTAGACCAGAGAATTCTAGAACCCAGAACTGAAAGTCACCGACTCAAAGCTGGAAGGAGCTCTCCAGACCAGCGAAGGCAGCTGCGTCGTTTTGCAGATGGAAAAGCTGAGGCGCTGAGAGGGCCAAGTCATGTCCATGACACACAGGAGCCAGCGCAGCAGCGGCTTTCTCTCCAGCCCGGCTCACACACTCCCCACTCTGCCTAGGAAGGCCTCCTGGGCTGACCCTGGAGCAGGCGCAGGAGACCCAAGCCGCCTCCGCCAGGGCTCTGCTCTCTGGTGGTTTCTGATGGCCTCGGGCGCATGCCCAGCCCCTATCAGACAGTGCAGCACCGCCTTGGCTCCCAGCCCCTCTCAGACAGAGATGCCCATTCCCCGTCAGCTGGCAGGACCGCCCACTGCCTGCCTCCAGAGCAGTGGACTCTGGCTGCCCTGGCACCCCCGACCCCTCCAGTGATGAGGGGGCCAATCACCAATGAGCAGAGGCACCAGGCTGTGAGCTGTTGGCAGCTGCGAGGGAACGAGTTGGCGCCGGTCCGTCCTCACAGTGGCTTTCCCGCCCCGCACAGCTGTTTCACAGCCCCCAGGCACCACTGCCCACCTTAGAACCTGAAGATGGAGGGTTCAGGTGCAGCAGCAGGAGCCTTTGGCTGGGGTCATGCCAACTGTACAGACCTGGAAGCATGTCCCCGCTCCGCCATTCACTGCTGTGTGACCTGGGGCGGGTACTTGACCCCTGGTGAGCAGGGTGATGGAGGTCACCGTGAGGGTGATTGAAGCCCGTGACCAGGGCATGGAGCTCATGATGAAAAAATCCACAACAACCCAGCCAGACAGGAATGTGTGTCCTTTTCTCAGAAGAGGAAACAGGTTTAGAGTCAGCACCTGCCCAGAGTCCAACAGCACGGCAGGCCCAGGGACCGGAGGTCCTCCCGGGGTGGGAGGCTGGGCCCTGAGACAGAGGTTTCTCCTCCGCAGGAGGCCTGCTACCCAACGAACCAGACCCCTGGCTTCCCAGGTGAGCCTCACCTGGGGTCCCTCCTGCGCCACCCCTGCCGCCTGTGTCTCGCCCACCTCCTGCCCTTTCACCCAGGACTCTTCATGCTGCTGGAGGCCGGGGTCGTGACCTTGGCTGTATCAGGCTGGGCACCTGGCTCTGGGGCTCCTGCCTCAAGGACGCAGGTGAGGGAGCAGGTAGTCTCGCGCCAGGGCAGATGGTTCTGGAGCCATCCCCTGGGGACCCTTCTCCGCGGGGCGTAGGTGGGAACTGCAGCCCTTCACAAGCACGGACTGTCCCCCCACCTCCCACTTCTGGAAGGAGGGAGGGAGGGCTGAGGGCTGAAAAGAGGGGAAGAGGTGGAGAAGGCTGCCCTGTCCATCCATGCTCTTCAGAAGCAGAGACAAAGCCCCCAGAGGTGAGCTGAAGAAAAGCCAGGCTCTCTTAACTGATTGTCCCTTCTTTATTTTCTTCTTTTTAAATATATGTATTTTTATTGATTTCAGAGAGGAAGAGAAAGGGAGAGAGATAGAAACATCAATGATGAGAGAGAATCATTGATCAGCTGGCTCCTGCACACCCCCCACTGGGGACCAAGCCCACAACCTGGGCACGTGCCCTGACCAGGAATCAAACCGCAACCCCTTGGTTCATAGGTTGATGCTCAACCACGGAGCCACACCGGCTGGGCTGGCTGTCCCCTCTGGGTCTTTGTCATCCCTCTACAGCAACACCCTCTGCTGCCCAGCGGGTCCCAAAGAGGACGGAGGCAAGGCCTGTGGAGGGGAAGGGGCTGGACATCCCCAGGGAGGACCAGCAGGGCCGTACCTTCCATTCCACCACTGTCCCCCCACCTCCCAACCCTCGGTGGCATCTGGCCCCCAAACCTTGCCCCAGCCCCAGCCTGTCACCCCACTTCTACAGGCAGAGCCTCTCCTGGCCCAGGCTTCTCTGGGCAGCCACGGCCAAGGGGGGTCCTTGAAGTGGGAAGAGGAGTCAGAACCCCGGGGACTCAGACAAGACCCGCCAGTGGCTACACGGGATGGGACTGGTCTCGGGAGTCCAGCAGCCCCTCCTGAGACCCCTGTCCTATTTCTTTGACCCTGGACCTCTCCCTTGTCCCCAGAAAACCCCATAAAGGCTCATGAAGAAAGAAAAGCCAGAGTTTGTGGCAATTTGGGGTGCTAGAAAGATTCAAGGGGTCCTCTGGAGCCCCAGGGATGGCTGAGAGGTCCATGGCAAGGGGGCTCTGTGACTCGGCAGCTCCCCCTCTCGTCCGTGGAGGGACATGTCCAATTAGGTGCTAGAAAGATTCAAGGGGTCCTCTGGAGTCCCAGGGTTGGCTGAGAGGTCGGTCCATATGGCAAGGGGGCTCCCCCTCTCGTCCGTGGAGGGACATGTCCAATTAGCAGAGAAGCGACACCCCCAGCCTCCACACAGTGCCCAGAGTCCCTCTCCCCAGCTGGTACCCCCCAGGCAGCTCGGAGAGGGGTGGGGGAGGGAGAAGGACTCCCTGGCACTTATCAGCCTCCTGGGTCTCCTGCCCAACAGTCACCTTGAAGTGACACCAGCTGGACCCAGCTCCCCTCCCCCACTCCTGCTGTTTCCATGGGGACAGATGTCCTTTCAGCAGCAGCATCAGGCCTCAGCCGCCCGCCCCAATGGGGAGGGGAAAACGGGTGGGGGGTGGGGCTGGCCTGAGAGCCCTCTCTGGGTTTCTTTATCTTTTTTATCTGCGGGACTCCGCTGACTACAGCTTTCTGAGTTTTGGTCCCTCCCTGTGAGGCATTCAGGCTCCAATCCCAGCTCTTTCTGCAAAACGAGGAGCTGGGGACCCCCTTCTCCCTCCAAGGGTCCATCTTTTTCATCCTTCCCAGCGGCTGGGATCCCGGCCTCCCAGAAAGGACACTTGAAAGGACACAATAACTTATTTATTTTCTGGATCGGAGGAGGACTTTCTTACAATCTTGGGCCCTAGGACCCGGAAGGGGGCTGAGAGGGCAGCCCCGATGCAGCCGGAGAGCCTGGCTGAGCAGGAACCTTTCCCTCTGGCCTCCTCCAGGACTGGAGCGAATCAGCCTCACGGAGCAGGGCCAGGGGCAGAGGCTCCGGGGCAGGGGCTCTGCGTGACCACCGGGTACAGCAGGGCCAGGTGCTCGGCGCCCTGCACGGGCAGCGGGCGCGAGCTGTAGTGGAGCACCAGCTCGGGCACACTGGCGAAGGGGCCGCTGTGCTGGCCCAGCACCAGCTGGTTCTCTCGTGTCCACGCAAACTTCAGGTGCAGGAAGCCCTGGCTGCTTCTGGGGAACAGCATCACAGGGGCCGTGAGCACCCCAGCCCCCAGCAGGCTCTCCAGCCCTGAGGCCACCCCATCACTGCTCCTGGAACCCGGGCACTGGTGTCCCCATGTATTTCTGTTAAACAGCCAGTTGGTGCCACGGCGTTGGCTTGCTCCGCAGCAGGAATACCTTCTATGCTGGTGGAGGAGGCCCTGCCAGGGGACAGCCCCTCCCCTGAAACATGACCTGACTTTGTCTCCAAACCTCCTGACCCCTGGTGCCACCCCACCTGACCTCCCCACTAGTTAACCCCCAGTCTGGGGTCTCTTTCCTTTCTGTCTCGGGTGGGTGGGATGATGTAGAACCTGGGAATCATTTTATCCACATCATTAATATAATTCAAGTACTTCCTGTTTCTGGGGCACTATTCCCAACATTTTTTCGTGTATTTTTTTCCATTTAATCATTGCAGTATTGCCATGAAATCGATGCTATTATCCTTTCATAAATGAGGAAACCAAGGCCCAGAGAAGGTGAGTAAATGAGCTAAGGTCACACAGCTAGAAAGTGGTAGAGGCAGGATTTGAACCAGCCTCTTCAACGTTGGGCTTTTAGGGATCTCACGCTCAGACGCCTAGAGGATCTTAGGAGTGCCGTATGCTCAGACACACCTAGGAGCTTAGGCAGAGAAGCACGTAGCACCAGGGTCTCAAACTCGAATGCCTAGAGGGCCACTCAGACTCCAGCCCCGGGACAGACACAGTGAATATACTCTAACTTTCGGACTGGGGGGTCCACAGAAAACTGACATCTGCTTCTCCATCTCACCCAAGTCCTAGATCTCCCGTGTGGCGTCCACGCCATCTTCTTGCATACCTCCCGTGACAGGGAGCTCATTCTCCGTAGGTCTCCCTGGAGGCCCCACCGACAGGTCCCATAAGTCCCACCCCTGGGCCTGAAAGCCCAGCCCCCTGGCTGCTGGAGGTACACCCCTCTGCTCAAACCTGAAAACACGCCGCATGCAGTCCTGTGACCTCCCGGAGGCGGGGTCTCACCTGAGGGACAGGGAGCAGTCTTGGGGGCTGGTCTCGCTGAGCCGCACGAGGTAGCTGCCTTCCTTGCAGAGCAAGAGGAGGTTCTCGGCGTCTGCCCGGCTCAGAGGCCCGTGAAACCACCTGGTGTGGGGGCAGATGTCTCAGGAAGGGCCACCCCCCTTCAAACACACTCGGGGTCTGGCGCAGGCACAGTGGTTAAAGGGCTTCTGGCCTCCAGGCAATGAAGAGAAAAATTCCCTTGGGTTTCTCAAGAGGAGCCTGTTTCCCGGGGAGGCGGCCTAGCCCAGGCCAGCGTGGAGCCGCTCCTGTCAATGAAGAGCTCCACCTGACCTTGACCTTAGCCTCCCCGGCTGGATAACTCAGCCCCGCCCTAATTCCCCAACTTGAATCACTTGCTTATCACTCTCACAAGATTTGCTCCATCCTGCATCCCCACCCACCTGGACCGCTCTTCACTTAGCATTTTTCTCTAACGTGCGCAAAGAGAGGTCGCAGCTGCAAGCACGGTGTCAGAGAGGGATGAGCACCAGGGACTCCGTGGTTGTTTGTATTGAGAGAAAACTGAAGAGAATAAACGTTTCACCTGTGCTTCAGTGTTAAGTAGCCAGGTTGGTATCGCCCAGCAAAGAGAGGTCGCAGCTGCAAGCGAGGTGTCAGAGAGGGATGAGCATCAGGGACTCCGTGGTTGTTTGTATTGAAAGAAAACTGAAGAGAATAAACGTTTCGCCTTGTGCTTCAGTGTTAAGTAGCCAGGTTGGTATCGCCCACCTGCAAGGTTTGGGAATGACTGTGATGAACACAGCCGCGGGGCTCGGACCTGGCTGGGGGCTTAGGGAGTCCCTCAGGGCTCCCAGGCTGGAGGGACACAGAGAAGACCCTCACCCTCCCAGCCTGTGCCTCTTCACAATCCTGTTCTCCCCAGTTTTACCCCAGGCCTGTCCTGGGGGTGAGAATCTCTCTGGCTCTTAGTTCCCAGGCTTATGAGCCCCAACCAAGTGGAGGGAGGAAATCCCCCTTTACTCTGGTTGAGCCAGGCACCATCTTGGGGGGTTTCAGCTTAAGGCTCAGTTAAATGACAGGCTCAGGTCCTGTCGCCAGGAGATACAGAGCAGGGATTCGAACCCAGAGTCTGATGCCAGAGGGAGTGGAGACTCCATCTGATCCTGCTTTGCACCTAGCAGCTAGGTCCTAGCTAGACGGTCTGGCACACAGCAGGCGCTGGCGCCCAAGGAAGAGTAGCTGAAGAAATGAATGAAATGAATGAGTGCATGAACCAGCTCCCCTAGTCCGGTGGATCTGTAGCTGGTATGGGGCCAGGAGGGATGCGACCCAGGCCCTCCATCTTCAGTTTCCCCACTCACGGCTGTTTCTCCAGGGGCAGGGCAGGGTCCACACGTTCTGCGAGATGGGGGCTTCTGGGTGGGGGTTTCCGGAGCTCCTTGGCCGAGCCTGGGGTCCTTTCCCACTCAGGACTGTCAAACTGCACTGAAGCGGGGGAGGGTTGGAGAGCAAAGGTTTAAGTCCAACCTGCCTGGGAGGAGCGGGGTGGGGGCCCGCCAATGGAATTTCAGTAGGAAGGCGGTACCAATGGAATCCAGAAGAGGAGGGGCTGGGGCCGAATTGGTAAAGGAACAACCAATTGACTTTCAGAAGGGGTGTGGTGAGTGGCGTAGAAGGGCGGGGCAGTTTCATGAGTGACAAATCAGAGAGCAGGGGGCGTAGCTAAAAGGGGGGTTGGAAGTTCTGTCCCATTCCCAGCAAATCACAGAACTAGGTAACAACTCCCCAGTATACAGACAAGTAAACTGAGGCACTGAGCTCAAATTCTCCTCCCAGTCATACAACATATGGGGCAAAGTTGGGTTCTCACAACTCTTCCTGGTCCAAGTTATTTTTATTTATTTATTTATTTATTTATTTTAATATATCTGTATTGCCCTAACCGGTTTGGCTCAGTGGATAGAGCGTTGGCCTGCGGACTGAAGGGTCCCAGGTTCGATTCCAGTCAAGGGCATGTA